TTTCATCGGCAGCATTTGTACCCCTCATTAATGAACACGTCCAAGTAAATCACTGTTCCGGTATTCTTTAATTGTTTCCCAATAAAACGCTGAGTAGCTCACTTGATGAGGAAATTCTGCTGCAGGGGAGGAAGAAAAGAAGTTTGGGAGAAGTGTGAGGGAAGAAACTGTGCAAGGCGGATAGAGAAGGGGATGGGGCAGGGGGAGGGGGGAGGTTATGGGAGAGGAGAAAATTAGAAAAAAGGAAAGAAGTGAGTATATGAGAAATTCGACCCCTTGCATTTTTGCCAAACTTGCAAAAATTACAAGTACGGTGAGGAAAAAAATACATGAAAACTCAGTAAAAAAATGTGCAAAATTCAGTTGCAGTAGAACAGAAAGCAACTAATAATACGAAATGCGGCAATTATATTTGATAAATGAATTCTTGAAAGCTTCAGTGCCAATTTCCTGCCGACCAATATTTGAGGCCTCTTTTAAGTGTAGCTAAAATTTAGCCAAGAGCACATTAACACTAGATCTGCTAAAAAAAAGTAGAATCTGGACAAAGGGCAGTGAAATTTTATTGGAAGAGAGCAAAATTTAGTTTAAAAAAAACACAGTTTTCAGAAAATATCATTTGAATCATTCAAGACGTTCAAAATTCCGTTACAAAACCAAAAAATAAAAACTAATTCTGAAGACGAAAACCGATAAAATACCGCATTTAATCAGGCAAGTCGCAAAAGAGAAAGGGAGGAATTTTTAACAAGTATCTTTAAACAGTGTGAGACAATCAGGAAAAATGCATTAAACTGAAGTGCGCCTTCCCTCAACAGCGAAAGCTGGATACGCCACCACCTCACCACACCGCCCTTCCTTTCCTCATTTTTTGCTGTCCTATACAAAAATTTTTTGTTTTCCTCGTATCAGATGAAGAAATTGCCTTTTCCCCTAGCTAACTGTCCACAATTAACACCAATTCCTCCTCCGCGTGAACAAACTATCGCATTAGAAACTAGCTGAGTAACCGTTTTGCTATTTGCGAGTAGCACTCACCGAGCAGAAGTTGGCAGAATGCGAACAAAGTAAGGAATATGTCTCGTTCGAGGATTGGATAAATAATGGCGGATAAGTTAATTTTTATCCAAAATAAAATAGCCAGCCCCTTTTCCTCTCTCTTTTCCCCACCTTTACCCTAAAAAACCTCTTCGAGAATTTCAACACTTGAGTCTTTTGATACAATTCTGTTTGGTGACCCGATTTACTTTTTACGTCTTTTCACGAGATGGGAGGTCGACAGATGAATACTGTATACAAAAACTCTTGTCAAGTTTTTTTCCTGGACTTTCACAATTCATCAAGAATATGTGTCAAGCAGGCCAGCAAAACACACAAAC